AAAGTAGAGAAGAGATAATGTCGAATGCGACGGCAGAGTTGAACACCATTCCAAAAGAAGTATTCCATAAGTATTTTTGGCAGTGGAAGGTACGGTGGGCTAAGTTTGTGGAGGTACAAGGGTCCTAATTTAAAGGGGATTAAAGTCCCACTTCCGTTATGTAAATAGTATATTTTTCCCAGCCAAAGGTCCAATATTTTTTAACAGAAAGTCATCAGTAGACCTAGGAATATATACACCCAAAAAGTAGTTAAATATGCGCATATATATGCCGCAAAATACTTCAATATATGCGTAAAAAATTGAAAAATATGCAGAGCATATGCAATAAAAGTAATTTGTTATTTGATCGAAATAGTTTATTAATATTTATTATTTGTTTTATTTTACAATACCTAATATAATACTTAATATTTATTTAATTATTTAATAATTTTATTTACAAATCAACGTTATTATAAAACGAATGAACAATTAGATGTTTTTCTAAATTATCTGTATTAAATGATTGTCTCTTATCAGTAAGTATGTACTTGTACAAAGAAAAACTCCTTTCGACATCTACAGAAGTAATAGGTGCAAATTTATATTTTCCTGAAATATCTGGATGAATAGTATTAATATCTTCAAAGTTACCAGAATAAATATTAGCAATATCGCCCTGGACATTTTTACACTCTGATTCAAAATTCTTAATTAAATTTACGGAAGTCACCAAAGGTAAATTTTTTGTTTTAAATCTAATATAATTTTGGGTACAAATGCATAATTTTTTGAAAACACTAATTGCTTTGGTAATATGTGATTTTGAAACAACTTCTTTGTATTAGATATTCCCTTAGATGTATCATCAAAATCAAATATGATTTCTTTAATTTTTTCATAATTATCTGCGTAAAAAAGGTAGCTTTAAGCCAGGTACCCCACCGAGTAATCACAGGTTCCGGTGGCATCTGTAATTCAGGAAATGTTTCTTTGTACAATTGAGTTCTTAGAGGAGCTTTAAGAAATATTTTTTTTACATTACTAATTAAATCATTTATTAAAGGAAAGTTAGACCTAATTTCTTCTGCAACTCTGTTAAGGCCATGAGCCAAACATGTAACATGGCTTAAGTTTTCATAAAACATTTTTAAATTTTGTGCGGCTTTTACCATGTACGGGGCAGCATCGGATAACAGCAATAAACATTTTTCTGTTGGAACGGCTTCCGAAAGAAAAAAGGAAGACAATTTTGTCTGGATAAAACGAGTTATTGTCAAGTTATTTGTTTTATCTAATTGCTTTTAAGCGATTAAATATGGATCAATTTGTATTTCTTCGCGTAATGAACCTATCGTTAAATGGGCTATATATCGACCACAAGAGTCTATTGTTTCATCCACAATAATATAGAAATGGTTTCCAACGGTAATCTCACGAATTTTTTCACGAGTCTCAATGTACAAACTGTCAACACCACGTTTGCGTAATATACTTTGCTCTGGAATATTAAATTTACAGTATTTTTGCAAAAATGATCTGAGATTTGGATTATTTAATCGTATTAAAGGGATATTCGAAGTCACTAAAGCTTTGCATAAATCTTCATTAAAAATAGCTTGTTCACTTCTAGACGATCCAGATTCTAAATATTGTTTCAAGGGAAGTTGACTTTGTCTGCGAGTGTCTTTAGATTTCTGCTTTGCTATATGTGAGGGTGTTTTCGCGTGTTGGTCGATTTAAAACTTTTTTTTACATGGAATCTAAAACAAATAAATTCCTGTAGATGTTGAAGTTTTAATTAAATTAAATAAATGCGTACGTTGTAAAGTTGCCCTACTTTTTTTTAACTGTGAGTTGAAATAATATTTTACTGTCGTTTGATTTACCATTGTGAAAGGTCAAAATAAAATATAAAATAAAAAAGTACTTACAATTTTAGAACATGTTTTACAAAACACCTGGTTATCACCTTCTACAACAAAATCTGAATAAGATTTTACCCACGACTCAATTAATTTTGCCATTTTTCCCACTGGTAACATAACACAACAATAAAGACTGAAATGAAGTTGAAAGTAAACTGAGTCATTTAGAAATTTGAAGATATTAATACAACTACCTGAAAGGATATTTAGCAAAATTTGTTGGTTTAAGGAGGGTGTTTATAATTTAATCTTCTCAAGTACCTTGTAATGTGATGTTATTATTTTATAAATGTTTATAGTATTTTAAGCTCTACGATTTGGGAAGTGGGTCAGGTTATTAAACAACTCATATGACTTTGAAAGAGAATATTGGACGCCACTATATTTAAAACTTTCTAAACAATCGACAATCGATCAGTGATGAAAATATAGAAAACCACTGATCTTTATGATATTATAATTAAATAAGGTAGCGAAAAATTCTAATTCACAGAGACTTAATTATTCAAATTTAAATGATTTATTGAGACTTATCTGAGGTATACAGGAAACACGTAACAGGTAACTGTAGAGACCTTCTTTACAAGATAGTGTTAAATCTTGTTGCAAAATTCTTGATGTATTCTACGTTCTTCCGAATTGAATTTCCCAACAAGCAGCTTGTAAGTTCTAAAATTCAGGTAGAGAGAGCTGCTATTGAATTCTCGATATAGTTTCTATCGAACCATCTAAATCAATTCTTCAAGATTTCTTTAAGACATTAGACTTCTTTAAGATTTTCAAACCATCTATATACAGCAAGGCTACAAGGAAAAAGGTAAAAATATAAAGAAGGGAGCCGGAAAGAGTATCTAGGAACAGACAAGATGCTTTTTACTATCAAATGAACAAATTAAACTATTATTTGAATAGTTACACAGATATTAGAATTTAATAGGAAAAGAAAAAGTCTTATTTAACATATATAAATATAGTAAAGCCTTTTATCTATTTTAAACAAAATAATAGATGAAATTGTATAAAACATGTGATTTCTTATGTTATTCAACGTGTTAAGGTGATGTTTCAAATTTGAAATTCTTGTACAAAATATATATTTTCAACAAAATATCGGTAGGAAACTTACCTTATTTAAATCAGATGGTCATTAAAATAATTTAAGGTACCTAACTAGTAAATCGGATGTCCCAGATAATAGATAATTAAAAATTAATAATTCAACCTGCTCGAAGACAGACGTAAATCGAAGTGACAACCGAGTTTTGACACTAGACATAAACGACAAATGACGTTTGTGTAGAGATGTTGGTTTCAAAATAACGAGAACGGGTCTGGGTCAAATAACGAAAATGGATTTAACCGTTACAACCTACACTATTAACCGTAATTAAAAGTTAATCCTTCAAAATTTTAGGAAATCGACCTGTAAAGGCATTTCACAAAATATTATTTTGGTCCAAAACTCATAATTTTAATATGTCCAGCCAATTAGTACGTCAGATATATGCCAAAAAATTAACAAAATGTCAATATATGCATTCAAAATCAAAAATTGTATATATATGCAACATATGCAAAATATGGCGTTTTGCATATATTCCTAGCTCTAGTCATCAGCAATGGCTTTTCCACTATTTACATATTTCTAAAGCCTTATAATTGAAGTTTGTTTCTTTCAATGCATCGTCGAATACAGTACTCAATGGTGTAGAAATATGTACACAACCTTGTCGTATTTCTATCTTAGTTAAAAATACTTCTGATTGCATTGTTCTCACATAGTTTCTGGTGTTATTGTACCTACTTTCAGGCAATTTCATTTCTCAGTTCACTGTTAATTCTTGTTTTTCTAAGGCTCTTTTATACCAAATCTCGTTGTAAACAGTCAAAAGCTTTCCCGATATCTATAAAAGCTACATATACAGAGTGTAACAAAAGATGTACAGTACATTTAACAATAGTTGAAAATGAGTTGATTCAAGCTAACTTTCTTACATAAAAAATTAAAAGTAAAAATGTTACAGGGAGTTAAAGTAGAAAATATTTTAATTGATTTTGTGCTCTTACTCTAAACCGGCTTAATATATTTTTTATGAAAATTTATACGGGATGTTAGTATACAGTGACCAATAAAATGGAGCAAATGGCGTTTTAAATTGCTTTAATTCTATAGGTTTTTATATGGGATACGCCTGTTTTTTTAGACAATGACATTCAGCTAAAAAATGACGCAACCAAAATCGTACTTCTGTTTTGAAGTTTTGTTGTCTCTCAGTATTTGTTTGTAAAAGCGTTAGATACTTAGTGATAAGTAGTCCCTTGAAAGAAGGTCTTTGTGAAAAATATAATGTTTTCTATTGATCTTAAACCAGTGAATATTTTTTTAATATTTTGTAACTTTATTTATAATTATTTTTTTGTATTGTCCATCATACCAGAAGTTGCAAAGTATTAAAAAAAAATCTGAACAAATAATCAGTTGTTTGGATCATTAGAAAAAGTTTACTATGACTTTCCTTCTGGGGTCTATCACTCAGTAATTAAGGCTTTCACATAGATGTATGATTGCAGCGGGGTCTATCACTTAGTAATTAAGACTTTCACATAGATGTATGATTTCAGCGGGGTAATGTTATTAACTGAATTTTATTTTCTAAAATAGTAGGGGTAATCAAAGGAGTGTGGAATCCTTCTAAAACAAAGACTTAAAATTATTTTAAATGCCACTAACTCGTTTTTATTTGTCCCATGTATATTTTCATAAGAAACATGTTTAGCTGTTTAAGATTCAGAACCCAAAATCACTTCTAAAATGTAATTCTTCCGTAATTTTTCATTCTTTGTTGTTCCCTTTCTTGTACAAAATTGTATTTTAGGATGAATCCAAATTCTTTTTATCAGAAGTTTTTCTATTTCATCAAACCGTCAAAATCTGCAACAACAAATTACATTACTTGCTATAGCTATTATCCTCAACTAACTCTATACAATATATAATTTTAACATACCACATAACCACAAATTAATTAATTGTTCAAGGTTTTATATCTTTAAAAAAAATTCAAAGTCAATTAATTAATTTTCTTTCAGGCTAGCCGATGGCGGTCCTTTTGGCGGTAGCTGTCAAATACACGGCCCTCTCGCCTCTGCTCTTCCCCTTTCAGAAGCAGAAGAACTAGACGGTGGAGGAGGAGGGAATGAAAATGGGATTAAAAGTCCCGTACTTTGTAATCCAGCTTATTCGCACAGTAGGTGTCCCCCAGAAATCCATAAGTCCTGTTTCTGCGTACGGTTCATCGCAGAACACACGAAAATGTTGGAGGATTCTACAAAGGTAAATGATGATTAATCGTAAAAAAAACCAAGAGCTACTAACAGATATTTTTTAAGCTTTAATTTGATACTAATATCATTAAAATAGAGGGTAACAAAATGAAACCACGCTCTTAAGTACGCATGAAAACATGCTGTGTCATATTTGTGATCTCGTGGGGCAATTTAGCCGCACATTTTCACTTATATGCACCTTAAAATGCTCCTGTTTCGCTTTGGATATTTTCTTAACTATAAAATGAGCGTACATTAGCATTTATAGATGCTCTAGAGTAGCATTGCTTAAATTGTATCCCTTTGAACACCGTGGTTCAACGGTTCCACTAAACAGGTGTTTTTTTTTTCATAGATTTTTTGCTGTAAAAGTTAACATTAATTTTTTAATATTGTTTAGAGACGAATAAATATCATTTGAAAGCTGATTTTATTAGTAATTCGATGTACCACAACCTAAATTTTAAAGGATGCTAAATTGGTTGTTCCCACCTTATCTGTGACGTTTTGTAAAGTGTGACACTTCATAATCTCATCTTGAATGAGGGGTGAATTATATTTATTGGATTGAAATTCGTCTTATCAGCTGTACACATATATATGCGCCGACACGATAACTCTAGAAAAACTATTTCGATCGACTTTCTGTTATGATTTTCTTCTAACCGAGAAACCTATTGATTTTCAGAATTTTCGTTTTAATGTGCTTTAAATATCAATATTTATTTTTAAGGTATGAAAATACCAAATTTCTTTACATAAGCAGGTTTAAGAGGTACAGAATCCAAATATTTTGAAATATGTAGGCTTAAGAGATATATGACACAAAATGTTTTATGGGCATAATTAAGAGATAAAGAGACCAAATATTTTTATACGAACAGGCTTAAGGAAGTAAAGATACCAAATATTTTAACATAGACAAACTTAAAGGGCCCATGTATTTTTATACCGACATAAAGATCAAACATTTTCAATCCTGCAAATTCAAGGTCTCAACTTTCCATTGCCTTTTGATCTTCCGTTTAAAATAAAATCGTTTCTTTTGTATTATGATTTTGCCCGTGGAGCTTCAGTCCAGATTAAGTGAAAACCACCAATTGAATGTCCCTCTAATTAAAAATCTCTGTCCTTTCAAAACTGACAATGGTCTTATTAAAGTTGTGACCAAGGTTTCCAATCGAGAAAATATTCAAGGATATCGTTATCCGGTTATCTTACCATCTAAACATCCCGTCGTAAGCAAGATTAATTATGAAGAGCACCTGAATCATTTTCATAGAGGTGTTTAAGGATTACTTAGTATGCTTCAAGAAAGATTCTGTATAATTAATGAAAGAAATACTATTACATTTTTAGTTTCTAAATGTCTAAGATGTAGATGGTTTAACAGTCGATGTATAGAAGAGCACCTGCTGAATTACCAAAGGATCCAGTTAGAACTGCTCTAATTTTAGAAACTTTTTATTTACCTGAAGAAAATGTTTGGATTTGTTTGTTCACGTGAACTGTGTAATACATATAGAATTGGTAATTTATTTGTCCGTTACAGATTTTCTCCAGGTATTGCGTCATTTCATCGCAAGGAGAGACCAACTACTATGTACTGCGACAATGTAACAATGGAACCAATTTCAAAGAATACAGTAGAAATGTATCCTCCCTTCCGGAGCCTGAATTTGCTTTCCAAAGTATTAGATAAAGCTTTACTCAGTTTCCAAGAACTCTTAGTTTTAAGCTTCTTAAGTTTATTTAAGTTTATAATAAAGACAAATTGCTGAAATATAGCTAGGTGCAATGCAAACTAACAAAAAAAAAAGTTTCCAAGAATTGGTAACAATCAGTTGTGAGGTCGAAGTAAAGTCAGGACCTCTGACCTATATCAGCGAAGAGTCTCAAGACTTAAGACCTTTAACATCTACTATGTTCTTACAAGATATTTAAAAGATTGGTGTCCCAGATATAAATGCAGCACAGGCCAAGGAATTAGAGAGACGTTACAAATATAAAATAAAACTAAAAGAAGATTTACGTAAAATATTCAGAAATGAGTATCTAGGTCAAAAGAATATATTGGTAATTAGCATAAATAGAAGATAGAAGATTATATTTACGTTCGAGATAGGAAAATTTGACTAGTGAGATTTAAAACAGCTTTTGGATGTTTATTAAGACCTTTAAAGTACACCGGGGTAAGTGTATTTTTGGGGCAAGAGGAACCCACGGCCCATTTTAATTGAATAATCTTCAATGCAGTTTCTCCATCTCCCGACTAGACTCCTATATATCGCACCTCTTTTTCAATAGAGCCATAACCCTATAAATGTTAATTTTACAGGAGAAGCGAAACAAAAACGATTGTGGATGTAATATTTTTTTGAGCAGCATTTTCAGTACTTGTGCTTACCAAATTCAGTATACATATTGATTAAAGATGTCTCCACTGAATAATGATACATGTAATGTAATGTGAAATCTTCACAGATAAGCCTAAAACAATAAAATCTTATGTGATATGGCAGTACTGTTGATGGCGCCTCACGCGGAATTTATTAGAACTATTGATATGGAACGTTCAACGTAGGTATGTTTGTATACGCTGGGCAAAAAAAAACAATTTAATTTTTTTTAGGGATATGACACTATTGAAAAAGGGGTGCGATATATATCTCCTACATACTGCGAGTCCTTTCATGCGTGCCGCGCTGCATTGGCGGTATGACCGACAACCCAACTGGAACATTGTCTACAGAGGTAAGGTAGCGAGTGGCATGTGTTTTTACAAAGTGCATCAAAATCGCAGAAGTTTGTGGAAATATAAATATTTTTTTCAAGTAAGTACCTCATAAGGAACAGTTATTTACATTTTGGGTGTATTGGACGTGGATGTTCTATTTTTTATTGCGGAAATGGCATGGGTTACACTTGCCCCTTGAAATTTTCAAACGGGAAAGTGGAGCCTATGATATAAATTTTTGAGAATATCACTAAATTTTGCCAAAATTGCTTGATAAAATAAACCTGTTTAAATTTAAAACATCTGAAGAATTTTTATTTATTTTTATGGGAAAATAACGCGGGTTCCACTAACCCCATATATAAGTTCCACTTACCCATACATGTAGGGCAAGTGGGACCTCCCGTCTTTGGTTGGTTGTTTTAATAAGTGTTTATTTCCATGTTTCAGAAATGGTTCGAACTAATCGAACTTACGTTCGAAAGAAGCCGCCACCTAAATACTCTAAGGAGGCGCTAGATAGAGATATAAATGCTGTAAGAAATCAACATATGACGTTGTATCGAGCATCAAATCTGTTTGAGATCCCAAAAACAACACTTTTTAAAAATGTAAAGGGTCAAAGGGGTATCAAAAGTAGAACCTATTCCATATGAGGAAGAAAAGAAAATAGCTACATTAAAGTTATGGAAAAATGGGGATTTGGGCATTCCGAAAAGGAAGTGTTGTCACTTATTGGCCTATACTAAAAGAAAATTACATTCAGACTCCATTCAGAGACGGCATCCCGGGTGACGACTACTTCATAAGATTTAAAAAAACTTTTAACCTCAGCCAGAAAAAAACGCAAATAGTGGAAGTAGCAAGAAAAATAAGTGTAGATCCGTTCATCATTAATGATTACTTCACCCTGCTAAAATCTGTCATACAAGGTGTTCCCCATGAAGAATTTATAACATCGATGAAACAAGTTTTTGCCTGGATCCAAGCAGAATTACAGTTGTTGGCCAAAAAGGTACAGCAGCTCATAGGGCAGCAGGTGGATCTGGAAAAGAAAACATTACCGTGGTTATGGGTGAGAATGCTGAAGGGGAAAAATTGCCTCCGCATATTGTATTTAAAGGGAAAAATGTCTGAGATACATAGCTTGCGAAAAAGGACGAGGAACATCCATGCTTAACTTATTCTGCTACAAAAAATGGGTGGATGGAAGCAGAAACCTTCGAAAATTATTTAAAATACAACTTTCTTAAAAACATCCCACCCGAAAGACCAGTTATTCTCATATATGATGGGCATAGTTCCTATGTTGCACTTTTACTGATCGAAAAGGCAAAGGCAGAAGACATTGTCATTCTAAAACTTCCTCCCCACTCAGGCCATATACTCCAACCGATGGACCTCAGTATATTCCGGCCCCTAAAAATGAAATGGGACGAAGAGCTCGTAAAATGGCAACGGAAGAACTACGGCTCTAAACTTCCAAAAACGATGTTTGCAGCTATTATATCCAAAATTTTTAAAAATCTGGATCCCACGTTGATTGAACATGGATTTAATAAAGCAGGAATCTACCCATTTTGCGACACTGTTATACCTATTGAGAGCTACGAGCCACAAGCTTACAAACGCTGGTGCGAAACAGAGGCAGGTGAAGAACCACAGACAGCTGCGACACCTACAATAACCGGTAATGCAAACGAAAATTTAGCAATACCTTTAACATCCGCGGGACCGTTTACATCTACGGAATCGTCAACATCCACGGAAAGTGAACCCCCAGCAACTCCAAACTTTCAGAAAAAGTCTTTCGAAGAATTACTGTTGGAACAAATTAAGCAAGCACCAAAAGTTTCTACAAGCAGAAGGAAGATCTGCAGAGGTGCTGAAGTGATCACTTCCGAAGTAGGTACAGCTAAGCTAAAGGAAATACAAAACGAAAAATTAAACAAGAAATCAACAAAGAATAAGAAAATAGAGAGACCATAGACAGTAGCAGCTATGATGAGAACTTACAAGACTTGAAAAAAAGACTTGAGGAAGAAAAATACTACAGAAAGAATAAAATGGAAAAAATAAAAGTTTTAAAAAAGAAGTCCACATTTTCTAAGGATTACAGTAGTGATGAAGATAGTTTTGATGATTTTCAAAGCACTTCCTCTGATAATTGTGAAGACGAAATAAAAGACATGAATCAGAAAATCGGCTTCTTAAATCAAATGCAGTTGGACTTATCAAAACTGGATGTTGGTGACTGGATTGTGGTCAAATTTAAGCAGGAGAAAGCCATAAAAATGTATGTGAGACAGCTGACAGAAAAAGAACCATGCCTGGAGGCAAAATTTTGTCGCAGATTTGGTAAGACGTCAAGCTTTTACTGGCCTGTTGTTGAGGACAAAAGCATCATAGAAAAATATGAAATCTATATGCATTTACACACGCCGTCGCTAACTAAAAGGGACAACATAATATTTAGTGTAAATTTTGATAACTAGAACATAGGCTAAATTTGTTATATATATATATTTTTTTAAATAAAGGATTTTTCTTACGCACATAAAACTTATTTTTATCACTTTTTCCATCAAAATTAAATACACTCTTAATAGAAAAATAGAAAACGTTTTCACACGCAGTGTGAAAAGTAAAATAATACAAAACTAATGTATCGAGATGAAATCTAGCATGCGGCTATTGTCACTACTGACATTTCTCATTTAAATATAAAGTCAAATTTATTGCAAATTTAGAAAAAAAGCAGTGTTACACGATGATAGAAGATGAATTTAACTTCACTTCTCCAGAAATACTTGGAAGAGCCTCCCAAATCACGCAAAATCTTCTACCGTTAATTTCAAAAGAAAGATATGAAAGTTGTTATGGAACATTTGTAAAATGGAAGAATGAACGAAACCTAAAATCGTTATCAGAGAATGTTCTGCTTGTTTATTTTGAAGAATTAGCGCAAAAATATAAATCCTCAACAATGTGGTCGCAATATTCTATGTTGAAAAACACTATATACCTCAAACACAGTATTGATATTTCGAAATATCATAAGTTACTAGCTTATCTGAAGAAGCAAGCAGAAAATTATGTGCCAAAGAAATCAAGAATTCTAACAGCCCAAGATTTTTATATATTTCTGAATACGGCCCCAGATAACATGTATTTAATAACTGAGGTAAGTTTTAGATTTATTAAAAGTATAAAAATATCTAATCAAGTTTTTTAATTGTTAGACCGTAGTTGCTGTTGGCTTAGCCGGAGCTTGTAGGCGAGAGGAATTGTGCCAGATGAAAATTGATGATATGCAAGATCTAAAGTCCGCTTTCTTAGTTAAAATCAGACATATTAAAAATAAGATACCTCGATCTTTTACTATAACAGGAAGATTTTATATTTGCAGAGAATATGCTAGTCTGTGACCTCCTAATATTACAGAAAAGAGATTTTTCTTAAATTACAAAAATGTAAAATGCACGAAACAGGTAGTAGGAATTAATAAAATCGGAAGTATGGCTAAAGAAATAGCAACTTTTTTAAAACTACCAAACCCCCAGGAATATACTGGCGATTGTTTTCGTCGATCATCGGCTACAATGTTAGTTAATGCAGGTGGTGATTTGCTAACCCTCAAACGCCATGGAGGATGGCGTTCTAGCACTGTCGCTGAGGGATACATAGACGATTCCGTGCAGAATAAAATTAAAATTTCCAAAAAAATTGTCGGATCAGTAAATCCTTTTGATCATAATTTATAAGAAAGCACATCAGATAACCAGCTACACAAAAATTTCAAATAAAACAGCTGGGAAGGCTGTTAATAGGCGAATAAAAATTGTTTTTTCATTATTGTTATTGTTCATTGTTGTTATTATTCACTGTTGTAAATATATGTATGTATAACTGCATGGTAATAAATAAATATAAATCAGTTCTGGTCGTTTGAAATAAGATTTGCTTTACTAACAATAATACCATTAAAAATATAGGATAACAAAGTGGCAGCCGTAGGAAAAGTATAGTGTGTAACTCCTATGAAATAGCACTTTTCACACTTTGTGACTTGTGGCACTCGCATTTCAGGCTCGTGCCCCAAACCGTCATATGCGTGTGAAAAGTGCTACTTTCAACACTTGTTGCACAATATACTATTCTCCTCTGTACCTTACACCATTCTTAACCATTCGGCCCTACTATACTTCCTGTTATAGTAAAAGATCGAGGTATCTTATTTTTAGTATGTCTGATTTTAACTAAGAAAGCGGACTTTAGATCTTGCATATCATCGATTTTCATCTGGCACAATTCCTCTCGCCTACAAGCTCCGGCTAAGCCAACAGCAACTACGGTCTAACAATTAAAAAACTTGATTATATATTTTTATACTTTTAATAAATCTAAAACTTACCTTTGTATAAATACATGTTATCTGGAGCCGTATTCAGAAATTTATGAAAATCTTGGGATGTTAGAATTCTTGATTTCTTTGGCACATAATTTTCTGCTTGCCTCTTCAGATAAGCTAGTAACTTATGATATTTCGAAATATCAATACTGTGTTTGAGGTTTATAGTGTTTTTCAACATAGAATATTGCGACCACATTGTTGAGGATTTATATTTTTGCGCTAATTCTTCAAAATAAACAAGCAAAACATTATCTGATAACGATTTTAGGTTACGTTCATTATTCCATTTTACAAATGTTTCATAACAACTTTCATATCTTTCTTTTAAAATGAACGGTAGAGGATTTTGCGTGATTTGGGAGGCTCTTTCAAGTATTTCTGGAGGAGTGTAGTTAAATTTATCTTCTATCATCGTGTAACACTGCTTTTTTTTCTAAATTTGCAATAAATTTGACTTTATTTAAATGAGAACTGTCAGTAGTGACAATAGCCGCATGCTAGATTTCATCTTCATTCATTAGTTCTGTATTATTTTACTTTTCACACTACGTGTGAAAATGTTTTCACACGCTGTTTGAATTTGACGTTTTTCGAGGGAAGTTGGTAGTGCGTTTTTGTGTATATTCTAAGCAGCCGTAGGAAAAGTGTTTTTGGCATATTCTTATTTTCGCTCATACGGAATCAGCCGACGACATAATGGTGCAAGTCTGCAATACGTATGTGATCAATTCTTCCAAAACTTGGAACATCGTTATGAAGTCTGTCTTAAACGAGGAGTTGCACATTTGGAACATGTACTAAAATGTCAATAATATGTTTAACTTTAATAAATAAAAAAATACAAGTTCAGTACTGTTTATTTCGGGCAATACTGTATATTCCTATAGTAAGTAGATAACATGCAACAAGTATAAAATATAACCGTTTAGTTACTAATTACATTTCTTTAAACTATTTTTGATAACCTACAAACAATATTAAAAAAAAAAACACTAAAAACGGTAAAAACGTATATATCAAGTTTAATGATGTTTTGTAAAAAGTTTGATTATAATTTAACTGTCAGAGTGGAACCATTATTGCGTCACACTAAAAGAACGTATCGCTAAAAGATTGCCTTTTTATTCTACCTATACGATTAGTTCGATTTCCCAAATATCCGGTAGGTAGATAGGTAAAACAACAGTGACGCATTGAATGAATAATAAAATTAGTTTTCGAATGAATCTTTTTATCTCGTAAAAATAAGGGGTTGGCTGTCACTTGAAGGGGATGAAAGGGAGATTTTTCTATCATAAGATGCCTGTTTTGAAATAAAATAATAGTATTCCGAAGGGAAAAAAGTGAAACTTTCTTGACATTGACAGACGTCAACAAAGCGACCCACAAAGCTAGTAGTTCAAAAACGTCTTATATGTACGTGATTCCTATATAACAAAAAACCAATTATATTCTTATTTTTCAGGTCAAAGAAGATTGGAAATACGTTGCTATGGTATTAGATCGCCTTTTCCTGTGGATTTTCACGTTGGCGGTGCTCGTCGGCACGGCTGGCATAATCCTACAAGCGCCGACACTTTACGACGATCGGATACCCATTGACAAAAAGTTTTCCGAATTTGCTACAACGACTGTTGTCCGGTGTCCGCCCCCGGTTTAAACGGACGCGTCGCCGTCACGTTTCGATCACACGCTCAACCTCATTCAGAGCCATTAAAGAGCTCGTCACTGTTATGTAAATATAAAAAAGACATTTTATAAACCGTTTAAACGAATCTACGCTTTTGAGAAGGCCAAAGCCGCAAATAATTTGATTACACTACACTTCTTCTATATCACTACATCGGGTAAGTAGGTCACGTCACGTAGGTCACTTTATAAAAACCATTCATTTAACTTCCTAGAAAATAAAACATATGTTTATAAAATAACATTCAAAATTAAGCCACCTTGAAAATGCAGAGCTAAAAAAGTTTTTACAGAAACTAAAGGTATTTTTAATTAGCTGTAAACGTATTATCTAATACATAAAAACACTAAAATATGCACAAATAATTCTCAGTGTAATCATTGTATGAAAAAATATTAAACACAAACATATTAATATCAAAGCTTACCATATTATATCAGACGGTTTTAAAGAATTAAAAATTCATTAATTAATAGCAGATTACTCAGATTTACAGAGTTACGTCTTCCAGTATCGAAATTCGGAATAACAATGCCATAACTTCAGCGATTGACAGAACACAGAATCGTCAAACCGACCAGAGATAGGACACCAGAGATAGGAGAAAAATAATAATATATATACCGTTACAGAGTTGAAAATCTTAAGAGAAACGAAAATATAGAAAATACAAAGAAAAGGTAAAAACGGAGAAGAACTGGAGTACAATTGAGAGCAATTAGTAAGCAGAATAGATAGGCGAGAGTGAGCAAATAGACAACATAGAACACCCAAGTAGCACAAAAAGTTATATAAGGGTTATAGCGACGTTGCAACAACGTTTTTTAAAATTCAACAACTTACATATTCTAATACACTATACCGTTATTATATATTATTATGCGACTTTTGCTGGATATATACAACCTAATAGTATACGTTTTGCAGTAGTTGCTATAACTCCAGTTAGAACTAACTAATAAGTTTATAAAAATATAATGTAATTAGGTAATTACAAATGGATATAAAAACGTTGTTAAGAGTTGTTATGTCATGATATAATTTGGTTTTATCTATAGATTATTATTTATATAACTAATGAAGACCAACAGGTATAAACATTTTATAGTTACTTCTTACAAAATGACATTACAACCGGTTGCCTAATTTGTACCAAATGGTTTCCTAAATTGTACTATACTTTATTACATAGATAATAAAACAAGATTTGAACAACAAGAAAACTTAAAACTTATAAATATAAATTCTGTTAAAATAAAAAAAATGAAAACGACCTTCTTTGGCATAAAAAAAATGCTGCAATATGTTTAAGAGCACATATCAACTTAGTAATTGTCTGAAGCCTCTGCACATGATTCATGTACCCATTCTTTACATCTTATGCATTAAATCATATCTTCTATTAAGCACTTCTTACAAATCTTGCAGTACCATTCACTTTTATCATAATTTACGGATATTAAAATATATTCACTTGTTAATGATGATGGTTGTTGTAAGTCGTATTGTATTTGAGAATTTTCTTTTTTTGACCTCTTTTTTTCCTTTCGAAATTGATTTTCTTCTTCCTGTTTTCTGTGACATCTCAATTCCAAAATTTCGTTTAACAGGTCTTTTATTCTTCTCTTCTACGGCATTTTGTTTTACTTCCAGTTGCTCTTTATAGGGAGTGGATGTAATAATTTCAGCCGCGTGTGCGCTTTTACCTATTTTCTGTTTTTTAGCTTCACTAACATCAGGTAAAGGAAGAATATCTACAACTGACACATTACAATTTTTGGTTGCCTGTGTATCGATTTTTTCAGTGTTAACGTCGTCAGCTGATCTGTGACCATCTACGAAAACTTGAATTTGTGATGGCTCTCTAATATTGGAATTTTCTTTCAAAATTTCGATTGGCATCGTCTCAATTGAAATATTTTCTTTATCAGTCAATAGTTCTGAAGGAGCCAAATCAGCATCAGAAAAAGCATCTTTATTTACAGGCCATATTCCACATTTGCAAACACCTTTCGTAACATTTACTATAGCAGCAGCTTTGCCATAAGCTTCATTAAGAAGAGAAGCAATATTAAATTGCGAAACTCCCATTACAACATGCTGTCTTAACCACTTTTGAATGGCTTGGTTTTAGTATGTTTCTAAAGGCTTGAAAACCAAAACATCTAGGGGTTGAAGCCGATGGGTCGTGTGACCTGGTAATTGTAAATTAATTAGACCATTATCACGGACCAAAACTATAGCATCATAATTTTTAGAATGGGTAGTATGACCGTCCAATACCAATAGAACTTTATTTTCCTTTGTAGGCTTAACCACTTCAATAATTTTTTTTAACCAAGTAACAAATAGCTCAGAGTTAATGTTGCCTGTGTCTGATATCTCCACCAAATAGCCAGGTGGTGCTCCAATAGTCAGTTCTGCTGACATTCGTTTTCTCTTAAATATAATCATTGGTATGACAAATTGACCTGAGGCACTTGCGCAAACAACCATCGTAGTGTTGACATCTCTTTCACCGCTGGCAATAGTACCAACTTCATGGGTGCCCTTTTTGGCTAAAAATTTGTAATTACTTTTTTGGACTGTCGAGAAACCTGACTCGTCTACATTATCTATTTTTGTGGCATCTAATTTATTTTTTTTTTTCAAGTTTATTAAAGAAATCTGTAACATTTTTTTGGTTAAATCCTCTGCAACGTGCTAATGATGTTGATTCTGGTTGCCTTAATGAAGGGTTGGGTGAAGTTTCATAAAATTGTAGTACCTCTTCTTGCCAGCCATACCCATTCTTTTACTAAATTTTTTTTCTGCGAATTGAAATGCTGCTCTTCTGGTAATACCAAATAATATGTCTTTGCAGCCCTGCTTTCACCGCAACAGAAAAAACTGTAGATCTATCTAATATTTTTTTACCGTTTAAAGCCCTTTTATTCGTTGCTGCTAGATGTCTCTTGAAAGAAGGCTTAGGAACTTCGTACATGGTACATATTTCATTTAGACCATATATTCCTGTTTTATATTTCACAATGGCTTCTTTGATATTTTCCTCTGACCACTGACAATATTTTCCCTTTTGTTTTCTAAGAGGTGGCAATCTAAAAAAAAATATGCATGAGTCGTTTAAATTATACCGGTACAAATTAAGAAACACCTTGGTGGTCCACATTAGGCAATTAGACAAAATTGGAAACTTTTATTCTCAATTCGTTAAGTTTTTGGGGTTATATTTTAAATTTATACGAAAAGGTGCTAAATATAGTTACTTTTAGACTTATATTATTCAAATCGTCCTAAATGTCATAGATTTTGTTTTAAACCTTAAGATAATGTAGTCGAAACTTACTTGAAATAGGTATAAATTATTTAGTCAGTCTTTGCTCTTCGAAACCGTTGCCGAACAACACTCTCTTTAACAACTAACCTTCTACATAAAAGTACCTCGTGGCAATAAAAGATGGCGCTTAAGGTATCGTTTTCTTTAAAATTCGGGAATGGTGCAATTTAGAAGCTGGTACAATAATATAGCCGACTTTCCCCTATCGTTACCCAAAATTAATTTTAGAATGTTCTCGTAACGCCCATAAAGTCCGAAGACTTACTATGGTGGTATCGTAAGTTGATAATTTTATTCTTTATCGCTACGTTTTTAATAAACTACACCTTTTCAGATTGCTTTGTAAGTAATTTTAATTTTTTACACACTGATGTATGTTATTCACTCTTCGATTAACATGTTTAGTATGTTAAACATTCCCAGTCTTTTTTATTTTGTTCTTTCATTAGAAAAGTAAGTAATAAAATTTAATGACTTAACTTGTCAAATTAATATTAATAAAGACAGGTTTTACTTGCTTTTTATATTTTTTATCGTTGGTGCTTTTCTAGGGCTTTTAATGTTGACACCTAGGTACTTTAATTCTTGGGAAAATTGTATTTTAATTTTCATTATAAATTCAAGAGAGCTACATTAATGAACTGCAAATTATTCTAATGTTGTTTTTGTTCGGTTCATTATTATCCAGGATTATATCACACTTACTTCTCGAAAGCGTAAATCCAGTTTTTATTCATTACTTGTTGTCGTCCCAAATCGAGCTAATTTTAACAATGTAAAGAAGCTTATGATATTTTATAATAAAAAATAACAAAAATACCTGATATTGTAAATAGTTTTACAATGAATATTGATATTCTATCGAAACAGCGACATATTTTGTATTACTAGTAGTAATGATGATATATAAGGTATTTAGTAGATTATTCATTTGTGATACAAATTTAATGCGATTTGCTTGTTAATGGTGAAGTATTTAATATTTATATTTAATAAATTATTCAGTTGATCCAATAATAGAGACATTCTGCAGGATTTGAAACTAGAATTATTATAGCATATATTTATTTATTTATTTATTTATTATAATTTGGTTTCAACATTTCAAAATTTCCGCCGACAATGTTTAATTATTTAATAATTTCATTGTTTTACCACACATTTTTAATATTTTATTTACTTTAAAAAAGATCATAAACAAAATATGTATATTGTCGTGTCCAGGCAAATTTCGTAGTAGTAGATACAGATAATCTACTCGAATTGTATAATATATTTTTTCTACGACCCACTAACAAGAATCTAAACATTTTCAAAGTTATTTTAGTTCATTAAGATAAAATAACTAATTTAAAAATTATTTATGACTTTTACTAATTTATATAATAAAAAAACTTGGAAAAAAATTAAATTAATTAGTTCCCAATCCTAGAATTGAAACCCAGACCTCTGCGTGAAAGACAAATGACCTAGTCACCGTTCTATCGCGATACATATTTTAGTTTTTATACTCGTAATTAAATTCATTTCATATCGTTTTATTAAAATGTATATTTTATTTTTAAATATAAACGA